AGACGCATGAGCCCTGCTGATACTAAAGCAGATATTAGTAAAACCGACTTATGCTCACTAAAATAAGCTAGAAAAGCAGGTATTTCGTGGGCCAAAGGTAAAAAAGGAGAGCAAGAAAACCTCTCTGCTTCAATTTAAATAATAGTCTTCCACAAAACAAAAACAAAATACTAGCAGAACAGCTATAAGGAACATATATGTACGTTAAGAAGTGAGATTCCCTAAGAAGCCATTTTTCCCTGAATCTGTCCTCTTGTTTCAAGAATCAGCAAGAGTTAAAGAGGTGCCCTAGGCAGTTGCTTCCTGTCTGCAAAAATCTGTGCTCTCAATTCACCAGCAAAATAGAAGACATTCTAATGAGGTTAGCATTTATAGGCCAGAAGATTCATCCTAATTAAAAAAAAAAAAAAAAGAAAGAAAAACTTTAAAATGCCTTTTATAAATGTTGGAATTTTAATTTTAAAGAGAATTTATGAAAATTATACAAATTTACACTTGGTTAGGAGTAGATAATGGAAATCACAGATTATCTTGGACTCTGGATTCTTTTTAGGAGAGACTAAACAACAGATTAAGTGAATAAAATAGTATATACAAATAGTAACAACTATGGAGAAAAACAAAACAGGAAGTGAGTGGTGTGAGGTGGGGGTAGGAAGAGTTGACATTTTAAATAAAAAGTGACATTGAGCTTGGGTCAGAGAAGAGAAAGTTCAACCAACTTTATTCCATAATTATTAACTCTGAGAAAAGTTTTAATTAGGCTGAAGGCGCTGGGTTAAGACAAAGCATTAGTGGGGCCAGTAGGTGATTTGGTGGTTGAGGCACTGGATTCCCACACAGCCAACCTCAGTTCGAGTCCTAGATCTGGTGGTTTACTTTCTTGCTTTCCCATACTCTCTCTCTCTCTCTGTCTGTCTCTCTGGTCAAATGGAAAAAAAAAAAAAAGATAAATAAAATAATAAATAATTATTTTTTAAAAAGACAAAGCATTAGTTATGTCTGTGCTTCATTTAGCCTGACCCTTTCAATTTTGATAATACACAGTCTAATTATTACACAAAATAGACTGTGTATTATCAAAGTCAGTATTATGCTGTTATTCATTAATTAACTTTTCTTTTTTTTTTGGAGAGGCTTTTGCTATAGGGCGCGTGCACTCACCAGACAGACAGATAGACAGAAAGCAAGAAATCAGCCCCCAGGGGGGATAGCCACACCGCAATCCCTTCTCCTCTGTTCTCCTCTCGGGATCTTGGGCACGCATGCACACGTGCCCGGCGTGAGTTCAAGCCACCGGGTCCAGGACTCGAACCACTGTCGACTACATGGGAGTCCAGAGACATAGCCATTACACTAACTGCTGGTCCCAAGAAGTACACATCTTTAGATTTCAAAAAGTTAATTAATGATGGGACCAGCAGTTAGCATAATGGCTATGTCGTTTGACTCCCATGTAGTCGACAGTGGTTCGAGTCCTGGACCCGGTGGCTTAAACTCACACTGGGTGCGTGTGTATGTGTGCCCAAGATTCCGGGCGGAG